TAGGTCTGTGGTGGTTTGACTCATGGAGGGTCTATGAATTTGGTTCCTTCAAGTCTGTGAAGATTGTGGAGGTAGGTGAACAGTGCCATGCATGAAAAGAAAGTGTCCTAATATCATAACAGTGTTCTGGAGTGTGTTTTGTATGGGAAATATCTCTGTTCCCATTAGGGAGATTTTCTTCTTCTCTTTGACCTTGTGACCACTGTTGCTGGGATTAAAACGTTAGGCAAAATCAAAAATGTTGATTTGTCCCCAGAATAGGAATAGAGGGTAGTCTTCAAATGGGAACACTTTTTTTTGGCACAACAGTCTAAGTTGCTGTGCAAAGTACAGAAATCCAGAACAACCAACAGATCCCAGTTTAGGACAACTCTGTTAGCTAAAGATGGCCATATGTGGATCGACATTTGACCGGTTCGGCAGGAACCGGATGAATTTTGATCCATTTATGGGCAGGCTGGTTGTATTGAAGATCTATCAACTGACTTAAGGCTGGTTGTATTGAAGATCTATCAACTGACTTCAGTACAACCAGCCTGTGAGTTTTTTTCTTCATACAATCACGGATCCTGTCTAAATCCGGCAGTAGTGATCATTGTATTCTGATGGCGGGGAAATCTCTCAGAATACAATAGCGCAACAGGAGAGATAGTCGATCGATTTTATTTCTTTCAATCACAAGTTGAAGAAAAGAGCGGTGCATAATGTATGGGCAGCCTAAGAGACGATTAGATGCTTTTACACAAATGCAGTTGCATTGTGCGCTATTTATTGAAAGCCTGATAGTCAGCATCTCACTGCCGGCTTTATGAACTCCACCAAACCATTAGAAGAGATTTCATTATGACAGTCTGCAGAACATACAGTTGTGACCAAAATTATTCAACCCCCAATGCTGTAAAGGGGTTTAGGGACTATAGTGTACATTTGGAATTGTATTCAGAATCAAATCAATCCTACAAGGACGTTGTAACTACCCAAATGCAACTAAAATGACATCAATTGTTTATGTAATACAGTAGTAAATGGTTTCTTATGTGGTTTTCCCTCTTCATTGCCACAATTATTCAACCCCCTTAAAGACTACCACTCTGAAGAACAGAGGTTCATACAGGTGCTTTCCATCAGGTATTGAAAACACCTGTGGATGTCACCGAGCAGCAATCAAGCATAATAAGCACCAATTAGGCAGCTTTTAAAAATGACTGTGATACTCAGCTCCTTCTAGACATTTACTGGTGTGGTTACAAACATGGTGAAGGCAAGAGAATGGTCCAGGAAGACAAGAGAAGAGGTGATTTCTCTTCACAGGAAGGGCAATGGCTATAAGAAGATTGCAAAGATGTTAAACATACCAAGAGACAACCTTTAGGAAGCATCATTCGCAAATTCAAGGCAAAGGGCACTGTTGAAACGCTACCTGGTCGTGGCAGAAAGAAGATGCTGACTTCGACTGCTGTGCGCTACCTGAAGCGTAGAGTGGAGAGAAGTCCCCGTGTGACTGCTGAGGAACTGAGAAAAGATTTGTCAGATGTGGGTACAGAAGTTTCAGCCCAGACAATAAGACGCACACTGCGTAATGAAGGCCTCCGTGCCAGAAACTCCCCAGGCGTACCCCCTTGCTTCTCCAAAGAATAAGAAGAGTCACTGCAGTATGCCAAAAGCCATGTGGACAAACCACAAAAGTTGTGGGATAGTGTTCTGTGGACTGATGAAACAAAATAGAACTGTTTGGGCCCATGGATCAACGCTATGTTTGGAGGAGGAAGAACAAGGCCTATGATGAAAAGAACACCTTGCCTACTGTGAAGCATGGTGGAGGGTCAATCATGCTTTGGGGCTGTTTTGCTTCTGCAGGTACAGGGAAGCTTCAGCGTGTGCAAGGTACCATGAATTCTCTTCAGTACCAGGATGTGGATGGAAACGTGATGCATCCGTCACACACCTGTTGGGAGACGTTGGACCTTTCAACAGGACAATGATCCCAAGCATACCTCCAAGTCCACTAGAGCATGGTTGCAGAGGAAAGGCTGGAACATTTTGGAGTGGCCATCGCAGTCACCAGACTTAAATCCGATTGAGAACCTCTGGTGGGACTTAAAGAAAGCAGTTGCAGTGCGCAAGCCTAAGAATGTACTGAACTGGAGGCCTTTGCCCATGAAGAATGGGCGAAGATACCCGTAGATCGCTGCAAGACACTTGTGTCAAGCTATGCTTCACGTTTAAAAGCTGTTATAACTGTAAAAGGATCCTAAGTACTAAGATTGAATGTCACTTGGGGGTTGAATAAAACTGATAATGCTGTGAGCACAGAAAAGACATTTGTGGTTATTCATTATAACTGTTATGTTATATTTGTCTGACCTACAAGTGCCTCTTTAATGTAAATGTAAGCAAGAGACTGAATGATCAAAAGCAATGACAAACTGCAAAACACTCAATTTCAGTGGGGGTTGAATAATTTTTGTGGTCACAACTGTATATAATAGTCATTAAAAATATTATTGCTTTATTATTCTTTTCTCATCTCCGTAACAATTTCCAGAGCAATTTGTAAGACATCCTGTTTCTTTGTACCGTTGATAACTACAGTAAAAGTGTTATTACCTCAATAAACAAATAGTTTGCTGATAACTGATATAATTTCTTCTCCATACAATTTTACAAAATGGTAAATACAAGGAAGATAATGATGTAACAAGATGAAAAGTGCTATAGGTTTGGAAGATTTAGCTGCACACAATTACTTCTGCACTTTTCATTTGCTTTCAGTTGCTTTGTATTCCTATTAATAATGCAGTCTGCAGAAAAGATGTTCAGCTATGCAAGAAGATTTAAATTAAGAATTTGGGGACAAAACACTTTTTCTTTCTGTACAGATTTTCTCTGTTACTGCTGTTTTATATACTCACTTAAGAGTGAGACTTTATTTTCCAAGCCTTCAATCATTATATTACCCTATGGCGTAACAAGTCTATCTTTTTGTATAATGGCTGTGCTGCCCCACATTGGCACTATATCCGCTGTAGCATTTGCACTTTTCAGAGCAGAATAGGGACTGGCCAGAGAAGGATTACATTGACACAGCTGGCCAACTTAAACATGTATTGCAATGTATGTGAGCTAAAAATCCCAATTTTTGAATTGCAAAGTTTTCTAGAGTTAGCGTTTCAGTGTGCAGAGGGTTCATCCAGAATTTGTATGTGCTGCATAAACACATTCCTCACATTCCTCAGCCTCTCACTAATTTAAGCTAGAGACTGTGCTGGACGGGTTCAAATGGATACTGATAGTCAGGGGCGGACTGACAACTCATGGGTCCCCCGGGCGATAGGGGATCATGGGGCCCCTGTGTCCTTGCCCACACTCAAAAAAAAGCCTATAAAAAAGGTACCAGGGGCATTTCATGGGGCCCCCTACTGACCCCGGGCCCTCGGGCAGTGTCGAATGGTCAGTCTGCCCCTGCTGATAGTTATTAGGTGGTTCCACGGGTAAGTAGTGGTGCTGAACTTCTGTGAGGTTTTTGCTGTCTATGTGCCCACCTGAAAGACTGACCCTGTCTCTATTTGCTCTGTTGAACACTGTCATTAAAAATTGATGAAAACCCCAACTGCTTGCTGTGGGGGGCACCCAACAGGAGGGAGAGGCCAGGAGCGCTGGCGGGGGACCTGAGAAGAGGAGGATTATGGCTGTTCTGTTCAAAACCACTACACAGAGCAAGTAAGTATAACATGTTTGTTATTTAAAAAAAGCCTTTAAAATCACTTTAAGGTTTTGTTTAACTTACATGATTAGGTTAAAGTGTGTTATATTTCAAGTTATAGTTCAGGGTTAGTTTAAGAGTTAAGTGTTGTTTATTCAAAATGCTTAGAGTTTGCCTTTAAAGTTAAAGCAGAACTTCCCTCTCAATTAATATTGACTATGTCTTAGTAAATAGATAGGAAAGTACACTATATTGCCAAAAGTATTGGGAGGCCTGCCTTTACACACACATGAATTTTAATAACATCCCAGTCATAGTCTGTAGGGTTCAATATTGAATTGGCCCCACCCTTTGCAGCTATAACAGCTTCAACTCTTCTGGGAAGGCTGTCCACAAGGTTTAGGAGGGTGTCTATGGGAAGGTTTGACCATTCTTCCAGAAGCGCATTTGTGAGGTCAGGTACTGATGTTGGATGAGAAGGCCTGGCTCACAGTCTCCGCTCTAATTCATCCCAAGGTTGTTCTATCAGGTTGAGGTCAGGACTCTGTGCAGGCCAGTCAAGTTCCTCCACCCCAAACTCACTCATCCATGTGTTTATGGACCTTGCATTGTGCACTGGTGTGCAGTCATGTTGGAACAGGAAGGGGCCATCCCCAAGCTGTTCTCACAAAATTGGGAGCGTGAAACTGTCCAAAATGTCTTGGTATGCTGATGTCATAAGAGTTACCTTCACTGGAACTAAGGGGCTAAGGACAAACTCTGGAAAACAACCCCACAGCATAATCCCCTCTCCACCAAACTTTACACTTATCACAATGAAGTCAGGCAAGTACCGTTCCCCCGACAACCGCCAAATGCAGACACGTCCATTGGATTACCAGACAGAGAAGCGCGATTGTTTACTTTAGAGAACACATCTCCACTGCTCTAGAGTCCAGTGTCAGCTTACTTTACACTACTGCATCCGACGTGGTGATGTAGGGCTTGGATGCAGCTGTTCAGCCATGGAAACCCATTCCATGAAGCTCTCTATGCACTGTTGTTGTGCTAATCTGAAGGCCACATGAAGTTTAGAGGTCTTTAACTATTTACTATGCAGACAGTTGGCGAATTCTGCGCACTGTGTGCTTCAGCATGTGCTGACCTTGCTCTGTCACTTCAAGTGGCCTACCACTTCATGGCTGAGTTGCTGTTGTTCCCATTTGCTTCCAGTTTGTTATAATACCACTAACAGTTGACCGTGGAACATCAAGGAAATTTCACAGATGGACTTATTGCACAGGTGGCACCCTAGCATGGTACCATGCTTGAATTCACTGAGCTCCTGAGAGCAACCCATTCTTTCACAAATGTTTGTAGAAGCAGTCTACACGCGTAGGTGCTTGATTTTATACACCTGTGGCCATGGAGGTGATTGGAACACCTGAATCCAATGATTTAGAGGGGTGTCACAATAAGAGCTGAGCAGTTGCGGACTGACAACTCATTGGGCCCCCGGGCAATGGGGGATCATGGGGCCCCTGTGTCCTTGCCCAAACTCCAAAAAGCCTATGAAAAAGGTACCAGGGGCATCTCATGGGGCCCTCTTCTGACCCCCGGGCACTCGGGCAGTGCCCGAGTTTCAAATGGTCAGTCCGCCCCTCACAGTGTATATCATATTTACTAGTGTTAACTTTTTTTTTTTTTATATGTCTTCAGTTACTTCCTGGTTTCCAAGCCTATGCAAGTGAAGTTAAACATCATAGGAATCTTTGGGGGGGGGGTTCTTATCTGAGCCACACTCCCCTACATACATGCCTGAGCTAAGGGCAGATGGATTCCTAGTAGTAGATGCTACAGGAATCATCTGCCCTTACTCAAGATAACCACAGATCCCCAAATACTAGGGGAGTGTTTTTCAAAGTGATTTCTCAACAAAGTAAAGCATGGAGACATGGATGGATGGGTGAGTTTGCTTTGAATGTTAAAAATGAATTAAATAGAATTTTAATATGTGGTGCCCAGAAGCAGAGTAGTTCCGCTTTAATAAAAATTACTTTTCCATTTGGCCAGCAGCCAATTGACTGTAATGCCCAGAGAAATCGAATTTACTGATCACGATTGACACACTGCTTTCTTCCAGCATTTGTTTTACTTTTGATGAATTACTGCTAATTAGATGATTGTAACAGAGAGACACTTAGCACTCCCATTCCCTCGAGTTTGGCCAAGTTATTGGAAAGACTGACATTATGCCATCAGTCTGCTGCAGTAAGATAAACCACTTCCGCAATCTCCTTTTTACCAGTTATCAAAATGTACATTGTAAATTAGCAGCAAGTCACAAGATGAGAGGCTGTAGCAGGGGCTGACCCATGTTGGACATTTGTGAACACAGCCAAGAACTGTATGTAGCACCACCCCCTTAGGAGTTGCTAGAAGATTTGGGTCCCCCTATAGTCCTGCACAGCCAGGTAACATGCATATTCACACAAGCTTGCATCCAGAGTCAGAAATCAGTCCTTGAGCTTTGGTTTTGTTGTTTAATTTAGGGGATTTGATCTGGATTAGGGTTAGGAGTGTTCACAAGCCTTTACTGCCACAGTAATGAAGAGCTAGCCAGCCTCTCCCAATGTACCACCCCCCAGACCCTAGTTGAACCTCTCCTATTCACTCAGCAATCTGGAGGTGTCCTTGAACAGGGGATCCGAATCCTGTCACTTTAAGAGATCAATAGTCACTGGTAGGTGGCGAATCTGGTTTCGCACCAGAGTGCTCCTTCCCCTATCCACCCAAAGGGGTGCAGGGGTACTCACTCAGATCCTCTCCTGTACCGCTGGTGGGTTGGTGGCTGCTACCAGGCCTGTCAGCTGGGCTGCTTCTTTCCTGTCATGCAGGTGGTCCTCGCTCTGGGGTCCAGTAAGCTCTGAGCTTTTCTCCTTTCCAGCTCTAGGCCTGCAGGTGGGCACCATCCCACTTGGCCTCCTCACAGCCTCCTGCCTTCAGCCTCACATATTTCTTACTGTCTTCCACCCAAACTCTCCTGCAGCTGAGCAGGCTAAAACACTTTTAAGGGTGATTCAGCCCCTTTCCAACCTCCTATTGGGGATTGGCTAGGATCCCTCAAGAGTGCAGCCAGCCACTCCTCAGAACCACCCACTGCCTCTAGGACCTTCCTCCAAATCCTTAGAGCAAGGGGAAATTCCAAATGGGCCGGCCTGCTCTTGACCATAATTTTACTTTCAGGCGATTACACCCAGACTGCTACTCAGCCTTCCTCACTAACAATTAAACACTAGCTTCTCCTAGTTAACCTCCTTGGCGGTATTCCCGAGTGTAGCTTGGGGTAACATTTCAGTACCACAAACAGTAACCCCGAGCTACACTCGGGAATACCATGCGGCACTGCTCCGGCATTTGTTCTTCACTTACCTTACCCTGCGCTCCCGCGATGTGTCCCCTGCAGCGTCCCCGGCATCCGGCTTCTGTGTCCTGTCCCTGTGACGTCGGGACGTACGGGCACCGCTGGCGGCGGGAAATTTAAAAATTAAAAAAAATGTCTTTTTTTTTTTTTACATTTTACATAGTAAAACATTGCTGTCTCAACCAATTTCACATACATCTTGTCCCTAATGCTTTGTCCTGCGCCCTGCCTGCATTTTGTCTGTTCTTTCTGAATGGAAACTGAGAAATGTCCATGGCATCCAAAAAGTGTCCCTTTAGGTCAAAAGCGGTTTAGATCAGCTGATTAGATCAGAGAACAGTGATAGTAAATCAGAACCACTTGCAGAATTGAGTGATAATGATTTGTGGGGAAATTCGTCATCAGACACTGAAAACGATTTTGCGACTTTGCTGAGCAATGTGCTAACTTGGCGCTATATTTCACATTTCAGTGTTTTTGGTTTGATTATATTATTGAATTAAATGTATTATTATTATATTATTATTTTTTATGATTATTTATTAAATTATAATTTATGATTACGTGTTTCAAATTTTATCCTACCCGGGATGTTTACTAGACTCTTGTTCGGACAGATTTCAGTGAGTTATTCCTAAAAATTACAGGCCTACAATAAAAAAACTACATATTTAGCATGCAAAAAAATGGTACCGCTTTCAGCACCAAAAATCGGGAAAAGAATCATACCGCCAAGGAGGTTAAACTAGGAGGGTGGTACATGCACAGGTACCAGGATTTACACAACAGTGTCATCTCGGAACTGGCTTAGTCTAGGCAATGGATGCTGACCCTGTATAATGCCTGAGCAAAGAGGGCTCCCTCCTTCTGGAGAGAAAAGCAGACAATGGCATTGCTGGAGGCATATGGTGATCTCTGGGAGAGGTAATAAATATCTGTAAGTGTTACACTTACAATTTGCAAACTAATATAATATAAAAACAACAAAAACAGATGAGAGGTCTACTTTAACATTTGCTTATATTTAAATAAACAGTTGTAGCTGTTGTTTTTGCATAACATTGTCTTAGTTGTACAGGGATCATTTTAAGCCACAAGAAGCTGAGCATAAGGTTTCACCTAGCTCGTACTGATTACCATGTGTTTACTCTACAAGGAACTATTTCAGATGACAAGTCTGATAAGCGAAAGAATTTAGCATAAATATGAAGCAGATGAGCCACCTGAGTGCTCCAGATGTTGTCTACCGAACTCTCAACATATTGTAGCTTCTTGATTTATCTGCAAATGCAGAAGATGGGAAGAGTTACAGAAGAAAAACTACCCGCACAGAGCTGTAATGGGATGCTTGACCTGACCTAGCTGGATGCAAGCTGCTTTTCTGATTACCAGTCATAGTGCTTGTTTTGGCTGAAAAGCAAAAAGTTTGAAAGTAACTTGGAAGTGAGAAGCTGCAGAAATCTATACTAATAGATGGCCAGCTGGCCTTGGAGGACACTTTGCCAATTTTACCAGATGGGTGAGACTGCAGCAGGTGGAAGTGGTGAAGGTGGACTGAAATGCGACCATGAAGTCGACCCGTAGACAGAAAGCAAGGCATTCTAAATGTAAGGTCTTTTTTTCTTTAAAACACAGAAGGTTTTTTTTCCACATTGTTTATTTAAAGTATCTGAAGATAGTATTTAAAGATGCAGAAGGTTATTTTTACTTTAATGCATAGAATGCATTAACCCTTTCACTGCCAGCAGGCCTGACAGCCACTAGGATTGTGTATAAATCTGACAGGCAGACTCTTGCCTGTCAGGTGGAAGTGGTTAGGTGGCTCCGCTGCTGCCAATTGCTTCCAAAACCCTCCGCTTCCAGTGCTCCCCCTGCGGGCATGCTCCCGCCCTATACCCAAGCTTCGCTTGCCCATTTGCGGGCCTGGGGCGAGCCATGGCGGGTGTTGGCGGGTGGAGGGGAGAGAGGAGAGCGGACAAACATCTGCTGCCTTCCCCTCCTTTCTGTGACCTGGAAGGCAACATCCATGACATCACATCCGGGTCACAACTGTCACTTTCCTGGCTAGAATAGCCAGGGAAAGATGTATTGCAATGGGGTTTGCATTGCAATACATCTAATGGAGCCCAGAGGAGACTCGCAGGGTCTTTTAGACCCCAAATGTCTCAATAAAGGAAGCCTGTCACCAAAAAATCATCACATAGTCAACTTTGTGTCCCCTATGTGATGAAAAAAAAAATTAAATTAAAAGTTAAATTAAAAAATTAAAAATTAAAAGTTAAATTAAAACAATTATTTTTTTTTGTAAAAAAAAATAAAGTTACACCCAAGCACATAACATCCCCCCAATAAAGATTTTTAGGCCCGCACGTACGAATGTAAACTCGTGTGTTGGGGGGCATACGCATGAAAATGTCGATTGCAATACACATGTTACATATCACCGTGCACACCAGAGTGAGAGCAATCATTCTAGCAGCAGACCTCCTCCATAACGCTAAACTGATGACCTATAGCGGCTTTTGAAGCATCGTCTATAGAAAATATAGGGTATTGAAGTTTGACACAATTTCATAGGCACACACAAATTTGGTATGTTGAGTATTTATTTACTCAACCTTTACTTACATCACAACCTCGTCTTTTATATTTTACCAAAAATTTGGGTAATGTATTGTGTTTGTTTGCCTTAAAATTCACTTTAGTGTGATTTTTACTAAAATGTTGTGTTTCCTAGACCTTTGCAATAATATTATGTGGCATAAAAAAATTGGAACTACCACTATTTTTTTCTCAAGGGTGTTTGCTTTCAGAAAATATATATTGTTTTGGGGTTTTGTGTAATCTTCAGGTCTAAAATAATTTTTTAACATGTGTGAAAAAAGTGCAAAAACAGCTCTGGCACTGAAAGGTAAAAAACCTTCTGCCTTTAGAACCACTTTACCAGGGTAATACCATTTGAAAAGTCATTGAAGAGATACGTAGAGGAAAGATGGCGAAAAAAAGACCAAGTGATCCGACTAGCCCCATT